TCTGATCCCATATCCACTCTGATCCCATATCCACTCTGATCCCATATCCACCCTGATCCCATATCCACATTGATCCCATATCCACTCTGATCCCACAGCCATGGTGATCCCATATCCACCCTGATCCTATATCCACCCTGATCCCATATCCATGGTGATCCCATATCCACCCTGATCCCATATCCACCCTGATCCTATATCCACACTGATCCCATATCCACCCTGATCCCATATCCCTGATCCCATATCCACCCTGATCCCATATCCCTGATCCCTGGCCGTGCTGATCCCGTGGCCACCACAGATGGAGGAGGAGGAGGAGGATCGGGTGAGGAGATCCAGAGGAAGAGGAGGATCCATCCCAGCTCTTCCCGCAGGATTCCCCCACTCCCTCCACGCTGGCCACCCCCGGCTGGGGGCCGGGAGGGGTCCCTGGTGTCCCCAGCCCCCCCAGCAGTGTCACTGTGACCCCAAATCCCCCCTAGATGTGTAGGGAGTTTACATCCCCATCCCCGCCTTGCCAAGGCTCCATCCCCATCCCTTTTCCGCTGGGAATGCTCGGGCAGAGCCCCTCTGCTTCGGGCCGGGACCTCTGCAGTGCCGCAGACCCCACAAATTCTATTTTTGAACTCTCCCCGAGCGCTCGGGGGATCCCCTCGGGGCTCTCAGGCTCTTCTCCAATAAACAAACACTTTATTTTCTTGGCTGCTCGTCCCTGCTGCGCGCTGGGGGTGGGGATGGGGCAGGAGGAGGTTTTGGGGTCACCTCCTTTTCCCAGCCGGGCTGGGGGAACGCTCGATGCTCGAAAGCAGGGAGCGGAGCCAGGGATGACACCGCCGGGATTCCCAAAACCCATCAATCCCAATAAAAAACCCAAACGGAGCAACCTCCCTCCGGCTGGAATTTCCTAGAAAATAACAACAGCGGCTGGAAAAAGCCCAGGTGTCCTGGCCGAGACTGCGGAACCACCGAGGAAAAGCCGGAGCCACCGCATCCCCGAGGGAAGGAGCGGCTCCCGGGGAGGGTCTGCGCCTCCCGCATCCCCATCCCGGCCTTTTCCCGCTGCTGCTTCCTGCGGGGATCCGCTTCCATGGAAAACCCGAGCCCCCCCGAGCGCCTCCCTGCCCCGGGGAGCCGGGGATTAGCTCAGGAAATGAGGCACAAAAAAAGGTAAGAGAGGTTTCCTGAAGGCCCGGCCAAGGCTGCGCTGGTTAATCCAGGATTCCCGAGCCTCGGAAAAACCTTCCGCGCCCGTTCTTGGAGCTTTTCAGAACAGAAGCAGCCGGGAGCCGTTTTCCCGTCGGGATTTCCTCGGTGGGGTTCGGCTCGGAGGGTGTGCAGAGTTATTGAGTTATTGAATTATTTAATGATTAGTTATATTAATTATTGACGGGCGGCTCGTGGATGGAAGCGAGCAGGGCTGAGGATAAAGCTGCAGGAGGGGCCGGCAGAAGCTCGGGGGGAGTTTTTGGGGTCCTTGGGGTGGTTTCATCCATCCTTCAGCCCGGAAAACCAGAGAGGAGGCGGGAGCGCCTTCCAGCCCCGTCTGTCTCTCACCCCTCTCTGAAAATCCCTTTTTCCCCGCATTTTGCAGCTCTCAGCCCCTGTCCTGGTGCTCAGCCAGGAATCCAATCCCACGGGAGAAAATCTCCCCTGCTCATCCCCATTCCCATCTCCAGACACCTCCTGTCTCCATCCCGCCGCTCTCCCTTCGCTCCTTTCCTGGCTTTTCACCCCAAACCTGCGGGATTCGCCCCCCGGCCCTGGCTCTGCTTCCCTGCCGAGCTCGGTGGGCTTTGGGATCATCCCGATCCCTCCGGGAATGCGCCAGGAGCGGGGAAAGGGGCCCCAGGCCGGCCCCGGGGGCTGCGGAGCCTCCGGCAGCCCCGCCCCGCCTGGGAACAGCGGGATTTGGGGGATTTGGGATAAATCCCCCTCGGGGCTGCAGCATCCTCGCTGCTGGGGGGGAATCGGGATCCACCCGTGCCTCGGGAGGGGAGCTGTGATCCCAGCATCCCAAATTTTGGGGTGTTTTTACTCCAAGAGGTGACAGAAACCCCCCCTGAGCAGCTCCTGCCGCCCCTCCCTCCCTCCCCGCGGCCCCACAAACCCCGGCCCGCTCCGCGCGGCTTCCTCGGACCCAAAACATCCCACCGGGAAAAAAAAACCCCAAAAACCCCTCGGTGCACCCCGGCCCCGGCAGCAGCGGTTCTCAGGGGTGGATATTTGTGGGTTTTTGTGGGGTTTTGTGGGTTTTTTCCCGGGTTTCCCCCTCCCCAGCGCGGGAGGAGGAAGGGGCCGGCTCAGGTGTGGCTTTAGGACCCAGCGGATCCCCCGTGCTGGAGGTTGGAGGTTTTTAGGGTTGGTTTTTTTTTTGGGATTTTTTTTTTTTTACGGGTTTTTTTTTTGGTTTTTTTGACTCTCATTTCAAGAGTTTTGGAGAAGCAGAGAGAGGAGAGCGAGGCGGTGGGCGAGGGCAGAGCCGGCACTCACTGGTAAGGACCAGGCCAGGGAAAAACCCCCTCCCCAATTCCCAGGAATTCCGGGGACCCCTCCCCAGCAGCAAACGGGGGCTGAACCCCCATTTGGGGGGACTTTGTGAAACCTCCAGCGGTTGGGAGCTTGGAAAAACCTTGGGAAAAAAAAAAGTTTCAACTTTTTAAGCTCACAAACCCTCGATTTTTGGGGTGCTGAGGGAGCGGCAGCCCGGGGGGGGGGAGGGGGGCCCTTCTTTGAGGCCTGACAGTTGTTGGAGATTTTTAACCGCTTCCAAAAAGTCTAAAAATACCCCAAAGCCTGGAGGAAGCTGTGGGTTTGTTGGTTGGGTTTTTTTTTTTCCCCTCGTTTTTCCACCCTGGAAAGGGATCTTTTATTCCGATTTATTTTGGGGGACGGGCCCCCCCTGAGGAAAAGGTGATGTGTGAAAACGGGGATGGGGGCACTGAGCTCTTTACCTCTGGTCAGGGGCCAAAATAAATGGAATCCTTTAATATTCCCTTTGTTCTCCAACTCTCTGGCAAGGAGAGAGCTTTAAAAAAAAAAAAAATTTAAAAAAGCAAAACAGAAAGAATGAAAGAAAAAGGAAAGAAAGGAAAATTGGG